TCTTTCCTGCCTATGCAGGGGGTCGGACTCGATGATCTATTGAGGTCCCTTCCGACCCTAACATCTATGATTCTATGAAACGGGGCCCATTAAACTGAAAACCCCTCCTCCAAAAAAACCCAAAAACTTGAAGACTGCTTTCTTTCAGAAACTGAAATTTCTGGTCACGACAGGTTGATGGGAAGTTCTGTGCTGGGCAGGATTACCGTTCATGGTGAGCAGACCACACTTGCCTGACCAGCAAGTGGAGCTCTGGGAAGTCTACTCCTTTGAAACCTGGAGTTTTTGGGTGGGCTGTTTTTTAACCACACTCGTGAAGGTGGCCCAAAACTGGATCCTTTCCGTTTTCCTGAGCCTGTTTCTAAATAACTCTCACATGCTGTAAGGCCTCTTCACACAGGTACTCAGAAGACCAGGGCCATCTTTTGTACTTACAGGAACTCGATACCACACAGCTTGTCTACTCTTCACTCAAACATAGTCATTACTGATGCGTTGGGAAGAAACCAGGCACAGTGCCACAAGCCAGCCTCTTGGGGCGACCTTTATCCATCATACAGAATTTAACAAAAGCTTTTGGCCAGCCATATCACTATATTTTGTCAAGTAAATAGCCTAATCCAACTTCTTTCCTGTATAGTACTGTGTAAATGAGGTAACAGGATCTTATTACCCAAGGGCTCCCTCTGCTGTTGGAGAAGATGCTTAACTTAGATCCCATTTTATCCTTGCCCTGCAGCAACAATCAGCTGATTGTCGGTGGAGGCAAGACTGCACTGGGGCTCCAACTAGCCGTAGTGTTGTCCCTGCTGACTGACCATCAGCCGATCATCTCCTGGCTTGGGACCATACCAGGACCAGTCTCAGCCCTGGTGCGGTCCCAGACCAGTTGATTGTTGAGTACTCAGCTTTCAGGCTTGCCAATGCAGGGGGAGCCTGGGATCGTGATCTCAGGCTTCCCCTGGACTGGCAAGCAGGGTATGATTGGGATCCTAACCCCTGTCCCACAGTTGCATGTCTTGCTATTCACATGAAGCATGGTAGGAGACATAATTATTGGGATCAGGGATCAGATCCCATTGCACCTTTTAAATGAACATCTGTCATCAGCCTCAAATGCAACTTTCATCTAGAGTTGTTACAGTAATTGTCACGGGTTTGGGGCTCAGCACACTGATGTCTGCCATCTTCCAAGGCTGCTGAAAAGTTTGGATGAACAGTGAGTTTCCACAAGCTTACTGTGACCATAATACCCTTCAACACTAGGTCTAGATATTTACATAAAATGCCTTTCTCTTGCCTAGTAGGTCAGCTCCATTAGACAGACTTGTTTTTACTGTAAATATGATCTGAAAAGGGGTCATAATGAAGCTTCTCAATTGGTTGTTTTTTTAGAGAAGTCAATCTGCGTAACAAGCTGCATTTCAATATATTTTCTAGTACTCGGGCACCCATTGAATACATGTATTTTACAACATGGTGCAATGAGCAGCTTTCATGTAGTCAGTTAAAATTTCAAATGTAAATAGGTTTTAAATAAGTTATAGCAAAGCATCCTATCCTGAAAGCCATCTGATTTCATAGTTTAAGAGCAAAGACATGTAGAACTTGTAACAATGGAAACCTAAAGTAGAAGTGTAAAAATATGTACGTTGTAGGTAAGATGATGTTATTGCTTTATTGTTACCCAAGTATTAGAACAGCAAATACTGTAAGGTAACAATAATATAAGGTGAAATTGTCCATTAATGTCACTGATAGGTTTTATGGCAAAGATCTTGTTCGGTGCTTTGAAAAGTCGTCTCCCCTGTGTGTTACTTTTATATCCAGACAGGGCTGAATTGTTACAGTAACATGCATAAAATCACTTGCCTCTCATCTTCCAGTATAGTTGGCTGTCATCAGAAGCCTGCAATTAAAATAATCATAGATGTCCACCTTGGGTTTACTTAGGAATTTAAGATGTTGATATTAAAATTCAGCTTTTTGCATTTTCAGGAGGATAATGTTTTTCTAAAAAGTTTAAGGTGAAAAACTTACTGACATATTTTCCTTTTACAGTGCTGGGATTGGACGGACAGGGGTTCTTATCACGATGGAAACAGCTATGTGTCTAATTGAGTGCAATCAGCCTGTTTATCCATTAGATATTGTGAGAACAATGAGAGATCAAAGGGCCATGATGATCCAAACCCCTGTAAGTATATTATGTTTGCTACAGTTAAAATAGTAGTTTCATATCCCATTGCATAACTGTTTCATCCTCACAGGAAACAAGAGGGGATACCTACAATTTTGAAAGAGGGCACTTTAACTTAGGGCATAGACCACTCTAACAATTACACTGGTATCAGATGATACCGGTGTAAGTTGTTGCACCGTAACTGTTGTGCCTGTTCGGGTCTTATGCATTCATGTTGTTATAAGATGCAACAGTTATGTCAAAGTAGTTGGTGCGTGTTCCTGAAGTGGCAACTTCTCCTCCCCTTTTAAAGTGGTTGAAAGTTATGTCTATCCATGGCCGTAGAGTGGATAAAGCCTTGGTGCCCTCTCGACCAGTGCTGCTCAACTTATTCAGCCCTGCTGACCGGATGAACAGCACAAGGCCACTCTGCAGACTGGATCCAGCATGGGGTCAGTTTGAGCTGTAAGCTGCACACCAGCCTGGTCCTGCTTAGCACATCCTTCCATGAAGTGACACTGCCCACCAGCTTGGGCCCATGGGCCATAGGTTGAGCACCACTAATCTAGAACAGTAAGATGTAAGCCATGTTGACAGAGTGTAATTCTTGGTATTTCTCTGAAGGGGAATGCCAGACATGGGAGAAGGGAGGTGGACAGGAGGAATTGGAGTGCATCTGCAGGGAATGTAGAGAGGTGCAGGAAAAATGGGGATGTGGGTGGTACAATCCAGTTACCTTATGCTGCTCTGACATTGCAAAGGCCAATGTTAACTCAACCTTATACTGATTCAGTAAAGGAGAAATTGTAGGAAAAAGGTAATAGCATATTTACTCAAATCCAAGATAAGATTTAACTTAAGGAAAAGACACCTCACCTTAGATTGGATGTGGTCTGGGGCAGGTATCTGCTGCAGGTTTGACTCCAGCCCTGACCCCAGGGAGACCATGCAGTGCAGCCTCAGTGGGAAACTCGGAACAGACCCTGCAGCAGCAGGGGAGCTGCTTTGGCTCTGGGGCCAGGGCTGGAGCTGCCACTGCCATTGCCACTGCTTCCTGGCTTGACTGGAGTTGGAGCCAGACCTACCACCTAGGGTGGGGGCCAGGTGGGGCAAGTGGCTGGGGAGGTAGGCATGGGTAGGGCAAGTGGCTCTGGGGGGCAGGTGCTAGGGGGTGCAGTCATATTGCCTGCCCCCCATCACTGCTTGCCCCCGCCTTGCCCGCTGCTGCTTTCCCCACTGCAGTGGTGGCTGGGGATAGATCTGAGGTGGCGTTCCAATAATTGTATTCTGTACATGGAAAATGATACCATGTATAATTTTCTGTGTGTAGAATCTGTTTATTGGGAGGGGGTCATCTTTAATGTGAAGTTGTGGTACTTCAAAAATAATTTTACTCTATTCTGGGACCATCAATATTAAAACGCTTTAATCATAACCCTATGGTAGTGCTAAGCGTCACATCACAGCATCTGTTAGAAAGAGTTTGGGTGCTCTCACTGAGTATTTCCATATCTTAACATATTTGGATTTAAGTCTAACTGTAAGTCTCTGTGTTTTTCCTGGGTTTTTGTAATGCTTAGTTTTAAGAAAATGACAATATTTCTATATTTTTCCCTAAATCACTTGTGGTCTGAATTTTAACTCCATTATTCCATGGGGAGTGGGTTGAGAATAGGTTTAAAATCAGCGTAGTAACTTATATCAGTATCAAAGTCAGATGCTACTTCCATCTGAGATCTGATCCTGTTAACTCTTAAAGAACATAAGGCAAAATTTATGAAACCCCTAGTGCCTTACAAGCCTGAAGGTATTATGGACAGATGAAACAATTGCACTGAGGTTAAGAGGAGTGGGTGGAACTTCCTGCATCTCAGCTGCTGTATAGTATCTATTTCTTCTGTCCATTGTAAGTGGAAGCTAAACTGCAGCAATTTAACCCTGAATGAAGCAGCTGTTAAATTACACAGTTGAGCTTCTGTTTTGTAGGGTAGAAAAGATGCATGGAAACAGTGGCGTGGATTGCTTTGAAATGCATAAAGTTTCCTCTCCCTTTAACTCAACAGAAATGTCTTGTCTGCTCATACCCACTATTAGTTTGACATATTATCAGTGGGTCCTAGGCATTTCTGTCACTTAGATGTTTTTGATATGTTGCCAATGAACAGTTGTACACGTTTTATTCACAGAGGATAATGTTTTAATTAAAAATGTTAAACGCAATTTTACATCTCTTCCAGGATAACAATTTAGTTCCAGCTTATTACAGTAACTGTAGGATGGTTCACATCCTTGTTGCTGTTCTTCCAGGGAAATCTGAGGGGAGTTTAGTGCTTCTGAACACACGTTTGTCAAATAAACTTCTCTTACATGGCCAGCAATATCTATATCATAAGTCCCTTAATGCTTTCCAGTGCTTTTCTTTTACTAAACAATTTCACGTTCCCCTGCCTTCTTCTGAAAGATGTTAGATGAACAGCGATAGAGGATGTTACAGAGTATAGATGCCCTACATATAGTGTAAGGTGAACTGTTTACTATACTATCTCTTCCCAGATGTTTAAAAAAATAATTGGATTGTTTTCAGTGTTAAATCTCTGTTCCTTTTATAGTCCCCCTTAATTTTAATTATCTGTTTTGGTAGATGCCCCTTTGAGCTTCAAACAAAAATGTCAGTTTGGAAAGTGGGCTGACTTGTTTGAAGGTCCTTTCCTTTCTGAAACATAGCTGCTCCAAAACAAATTCCCGCCTTAATTTTTCACCTTAAAGCAATCTGGGAACCACATGCACTTGCTTCTTATAGCATTTTGCCTGTTAATTTAGGTAGCAGAAGTCTCTCCTGTGCATCCAAATCTGTATTTAAGTGAACCAGAAATTCCTTCATAATTAGTGTTCCTGTTTATTTCATGATGTAGCATGCAAGGTTGATAATTACTGATCCATCTAAAAGTCTCTTGATGATTCATTTACTCCCTATGTGGGATGAAATATGTCCTATTGTGTGAAATGTTTTTAGCTGGATTTGTGTATATCCACTGCATATGTAGAAAAGAAGGCAGCCAAGTCTCCATAGGTTAGTTCTTTCTTTACTGATTATTTTCCCATTGTGTTCTGATTTTTTTTTCTGACTGTTTCAGTATTATTATTTTTTAAATCCGTATTAAATTCTCAGAGAAGCAAGGAATCTGTGGTTGCAGTAATATGAATCCATTTAACTATTTCATCAAAAGTGCCATGGATAGAATGAAATGATATGTTTTAATAGAAGATTCCTATAAATAGCGTGTCCTCATGAGTCTGTAGTCTTTCTCCTGCCTTTGCACATCCTGAAAGCTACATGTGCTGCACACAAGATGGCACTGTGCCATTCTTCCACCTCGTGTGCGTGTTGTAAATCAAGGGGACGCTAAGAAGAGTAAGTCTTCTAGGGGAGTCTTCAAACAACACTAAGAGCAGGCTAATTTATACAAACACTTATAAATCTAATTATATCAGTGCACATCCAGTGAGATGACAAAAAACAGTTACATTGCTAAACCAAGTGGCTGGGTGAAATAAATATATTTTAAGCAATTTGAAAGCTATAAATACTGGCTTTCCTGTGGTTTATAGTATTAAACAGCATTAGTATTAGCCTTGGTGCTTTGCAAGATTATGGCAGTGGTGCAGCTGGGGTGGGGTGACTGGGGCCAATGCCTCAGGTGCTGACTTGCGGGAAAGGGGTACAGAAAAAGAGTCCGACACCACAGCTGCATGATCACACCATCGATGAGGTGGCAACTGGAAGTCACCACTGTCCTTTGTGTGGCAGCTGCCCCGGGCACCCGGCCACCTTGTTACATCTCCAGATAATGGCCTTACTTAGTGGTTCAGTCTGATTATTGTTTTACTTTTTTCATTCAGTTAAGGCATGGTTTTAGTGACTTGCATCTCAGGAGCTGCTAAAGCTGAATCTGAATGCTTTATTGTGAAGCATTTGGAGCCAGGCTTTTTCTGGCATAAAGCTCTGCTTTCTTATCCTAGAGCTATGACAAATAGAGGAAGGTAATACTTCAGAATTGCTGGGGTTGGGGGGATTGGTACAACACCAAGATACTTTGTAAGAATAACTCTTAGGCTGTTAAAAGGGGGGGTGGAACATTTAAGACTAGTCAAACTGCTGCAGGGGATGAAGGATTACTTAATTATACAAGTTTTGGGAGTGGTGCAATCGTGTGTGTGCACGTGAGTAAATATATACATTACTTGTTTTCATTAAAATGTTCCAGTTTGTGCTTTGTAATAAGACCTCAGTGTAAACTCTTGTTCTGTGTTCTCTAAGCATGCTCCTCAATAGGGATACAAGTGCCAAGCCCCTGCTTTTCGGTGAGGTGCAGAGGTCACCAGTCTGCCTTGTGAGGATGATTGGTGCCTTAGAGACCTCTCCTATGTCCAGTTTATAGTGTTCCGTTCTGTTCATTTTCCATTAACTTAGTCCACCTTCTTTTCAGAGTCAATACAGATTTGTTTGTGAAGCTATTTTGAAGGTGTATGAAGAAGGAATTGTTAAACCCCTAAAGACATTGCTACATAAATAAAGAGCAAAAGGCCTGGGATACAGATTGAAGAATCCTGTCCTCTAATAAACTTGGCAGCCTTCATCGTGCCATAACACTGCTTGCAGGAAATGGTATTGGAGAACAGCAAAGAATTGACAAAGGACTTTGAAGACTTCAGCACTGTTGCACTTTATGTTGAAACAAAAATCAGTCTCTAAAACTCTATAACTTTCATGTGTTTGAAGACTTTATTTTCATGCTTTGCTCCGAACAAACAAACTGTAAACTGAAAGAACTAAGTGTGTTCAGGGTAACTTCCGATATTTCATTGTAGTGCCATATACTCCCCCTTCTGATTCAATTGCTACAAACAAGGCTTGGAATTATTTCACTCTGTTATACACCTACATCTTTAAAGAACAAAAAACCAACAAAAAAATACACTAAGCTATGGTCTCTTCCAGTGCTAGGTGATTTGCCATGTACAGATTCTCCACTTTTGTTTTTTTTTTTTAAAAACATTAGCAATATTGCCAATATTAGAAACACACTGCCTACTGATGCAGCACTTTGCCCTCCATCCTGTTTTGAGACCAGCTAGTTATTGAAGGAAAGTTGGCATCTGTGTTAACCCAGCAGTAGCTGCATAATGCCCACTTACCAGCATCTTGTGAAATATAAACGATATTGCTTTGAGTTAATGACACGACTTAGTGCCCAACACTGGTGTATTCGGATTCACTTGAGTTAACATTACATCGTGGGAACTAGTGCATGCATTATGTCTTAACCCCTTAAGTGCCTTGAGACTTACAATGTACGTCTAATGAAGAAGGCACTCGTATGACCCTTTGGGGGTAGTATCATCCTTTCATATTTTTTCTTCATGGGTTCACGTTTTAAAATGGCCCTTGGTGCTTGGAGTATGTTACTGCAAGGGGTCACAGAAATACCATTCCCTCTTTCCTTTTACAGGTACCTGCATGCTACTACAGGTAGCAAAAGCACCTCTGCCTACTTAATGAACAGGCATTGTTTGCTGCTGTGTAATTTTGTGGAAAATCCGACACATTCCTTTCAACTGGTAACTTTTATTAGCAGCTTAACATGAAATGCCAGTAGGTTGTTAGAATTTGATCCTCTCTCTTACCCTCCCATTGAGAGAAGCTATCTCATTTGATTAGAATATACCTTTTTTACAGCACTGATACTTAAGCTTAAACTTACAGTCAAATGTGATTAATTCCTTTCCATCCCTGTTAACTAACTATTTTTCTAAGTCATCATCAGTTGATTTCAAGCCATGTTCGTACTGGACTGCTTTTTTTTTTTTTTTTTGAGTAAGACAAGACTGTCACATTTCCCAAAATTTTAATTCCTTAGTAACCCCAGTCATTTTCTGTTATCCTTGTGGAAAATTAAATTGTTCCAGTTTGTATGTCTTGTTTCTTATTTAAGTCATTAGCATGTGTGTAACAAAAGACTTATGTCTCTGTCTGATACAGTATCTGAGCTCATTCTAAAGATGTGTATATTTTGTCCCTTTTAATACTTTTTTCAAGTATGGAAGAAGCCAAGTGGTAAGCAAGGTGTCCATCTTGATATACAGGAAGAAGAGATTCAGTCACTTTCTACACTGCCCTGTAAAAACCTAATATTACGTGCCGTGTATTTAAAAGTTTTAAGTTATTTTATTGGTTTCCAGAAAATTATTATCTGATCAGTTTTGTTAATAACCTATATATATTGCCTAGAATTAAAAGATGAAAAGTTCTAAGCTGAAGAAGATTAAATATTGTAAAATTCTTCTATATAATACACTGTGTTCCTTGGACAGCTAGAAAAGACCACAGTTGTGAAGGATATGAGTATACAACCAATTTACTGCAGGTCAGAAGGGACTGGGCTTTACTGAATATCAGCTGCTCTATGGTGAATGCATGCATGTATGTATGTATACTCTTACCACATACTGTGTGGTAGTCAAGTCATGGCACGTACACACTCAGGTCATGGCATACACAAGCAAACTCATGTGTGCACACTCAACTGGAGTCATGGCACATGCATGCTCCTGTCAGCTTGTGCGCGTGCATGCACACACATTCTCTCTTTTTCTCTCAAGTCATGGCACATACACACCCGCACACACTCAAGTCCAGTCATGGCACGTGTGTACACATTCAAGTCGAATAATGGCACATGCGTGTACACACACTACCTACTGTGATTTTAACTTGCAGTTCCTGCAGGGTAAGAGCATGCCATGGGCACAACACAGGGCAGCTAACACATGGCAAAGCCCTTGCCCCTTTTTATACTGCTGTAAATTACTTGTATGTCCATACCCAGGATTTTCAAAAACCAGTGAAAATGAATTCAGGTAAATTGAAGCTTTCGTTTCTGAATTTGTGACCATCGAGAGCCACAATGCCAAATAAAGAGATATAGAGTTTTAAATATTTTTAGAAATAAAGGAGAACATAATATTAGATGGGCTATTGCCCCTGTTTACAAAGAAATTCTACTACTTATATTTCTAGATTTGAGATTTGTGTCTATATTGTCCCCCAGCGAACAGATGAATCTTATTTGATGAAATTTGAGTGTAAACTGAGTGCTGCTGCCAGAAAACTGACAATGTGGCCATGGTTCCTGAAGAAATGGGTGGGAAATTATACCCACGTTGAAACTGAGAATTAATTAGTCAGAATGGGCTACCAAAAACCATCCCGGTTCAGTTTGTAACCTCCAGCCTATAAGAGGTGTGCCATCTTATGTCTGCAGGGGTGTTGGTTGTAGCTGTCCTGGTCTAAGGATGTAGGTAGATGAGGTTCTTTGAGTAAATCTGATATCTTTAATTAGACCAATGCAAATACTTGGGGAAAATTCTTCTTTGCAAGCTTTCAGGTACAAACACCTTATGTCTGCCATACTTGGAAAACACCTGTGAGGGCCTGGATGCCCAGCATCTAGGAAGGCACTGAGAACCATACAGTTCAAAAACTGTATCTAGTGTCAGTTCAGAGATCAAAAATAGTTTTGTCATGGGCTTCTATTTTGACAACTAGAAAAGTAGAAATGATGATTTAAAGGTGCTTTCTGTGAAAATATTTAAAAAAGAGGTTCTCTCTTTCACTGACTATATTTAACAAAACACGAAAGAGCACAAGATGTTTTGCCATACCTAGATGCCCAAGAATACATGGGAAAGCACCTTTGGATACCAAGCCCAACAGCAGCTGTTTCCATTTTGATGGCCAGGCAAAATAAATGTTTTACCATTTGATTTTAGAAAGAAAAATAGTAGGGCTATCTGGTTTGAATTTCAGTTTTAATTTGCAGCAGACATGTTACCCTGTAGTGAAAGTTTAAGATTTGATCTTCCTTGTGACAACATCTTGAGACCTAACGTTGGTTAGGTGGAGGACTAAATTAAATTAAGCACTTAATATCTAAACATTTAAATTAAAAAATATACATCCATTATATTAAAATGAACTATCTTCATAGTAAATATGTAAACGACAGTAATGGAATTGCCCTTTTTATATACCTTTATTGAGGGAAAGCATGATAGAGAGTTTATCGCAACATTGGATAGTGTTGGTGTATGGCATGTTTAAACACTCTATGTGAGGTTGCCAAAGCGGTTTGAGTTCACACGACCCATTTATACCACAATTATACGTGGAATATATTTATTGGCTATTTTTTATTATTGTGTTGGTTCTGGATGGAGGCAAAAGAAACAGATTTCTTTGTCTGAATTAACTTCAGTTGATTTAATATACTAACTAGCTGTAGTGGGGGAAACAAATCCTAGCTGTATGTTAAGTGAGCTGGTATGGCCACCAGCTGAAAAACAAACATCAGTGAGTTCTTAGTTACCACCCTACATGCTTCCAGGAAAATTTAGAGTTTGTTGGAAAATAGTGAAAAACCATCAATATCTTTTTAACACCATTAAGCATTAGTACAACAGAATGATGTTCCTACCAGTTGTGGTATAAATGGCCTTGAAGTATTTTTCTATGGCCATAAAAGAAAGTCAGACAGAACTGCTAAATATTTTACCTTGGGTTATGAAGATCTGTATCATTATCCTCAAAAGGAAAAGAAAGAGATATTTTTTAGGTTTTTTGTGTTTCATGCTGTACAAAACATGAATGTATCTTACAGACATAACGACCTATGCGTGGTTAATGTCATGACTGTTGGATTTTATGGATAATTATTTTCATACCATTTGTTTAGAAGAAAAAATTAGGTGGGTGGGAAGAAAATGAAACAAAAAAAGTTAAGTTTCTAAAACTTCCATTATACAAATGCAGTTTTTTAAAGGTCAAGCGGTTTTCATTGTAAATAAGAGCAATATTATGATGGTTTTGTGCCAATGTATAATGAACAGGCATTTTTGTTTTCCTTTTGGCTTTATGATTGAAAACTGCAACTGCCATTTATTATTTCAAGTAGCTTTGAAGGTTTTTAATGGATAAATTTGGGGCTCTAGAGGTGGGGTTTTGTCTTGTTTTGGTTTTTTTGAGTGTTTGGGTTGGAGGCATGATTTTTTTCCCAGTTCTTTGGTTTTGTTAAATATGAAGTAACGATCAGGTAGCACCCGCATCAGATGTCAGCCATTTTCTTTGAAAAGTATGATTTCAGATAAGCTAATTTAATGAATTTTCCCAAGATTTGGTGATATTGAAATTGGAGTTGTTTGGCATTTATTGTTAAGCAATAAAGCATAGTGCTTCTCTCCTGTTTATTCCAAAATATGCTATCTCAGTCACTAGGAACAAAAGCTGTGATTATTCATCTCATTACATTTAATATCAGTTGATGTTTCCTCCAGGTTTCATCTAATGAATTAGATTTTGAAATGATTTTAGTTGATGTTCTTCCTGCTTCTTTAGGGAAGCACTTCTTTAGGATAGCGTCTTAATCACACAGCCATCCTGCATCATTACAAGGGTTAAAAAGCAGTTGGAGGCAAGGGGAGATGTCTATTGTGGAACCACGTAGCTGACACCTTCTCACGGGGAATCAGCAGAAACTTTGCGGTTTCCAGGGAAGGACCAAAAAGCAGCTGAACTCCGCAGTTCCACTGCACAGGGCAACAGGAAGTGAAAATGGGTGCGTGGAGATGCTGCAGCTCTTGGCACATAGAGGAGCTGAATTGTGTGGTATTTCCACGCCACTATAGTGTGTGTTGGGGTGAGGGCAGGTGGAGGATGTTCGATGGTTCAGGGAAATAGCAAGACTATGGTCAGTAAGTCAGCAAACTGTACAGATCCACCATCTCCAAGTAAGGAACGTGATATCCAGTCCGTGTGCTGTAGTGGTGCCTGCAGAGCTGCTGTGCAGGTGACCCACGGCCCAGGTTTTGGGGGGTGAGCGAGTGGAGGATTCTTGTCCCAATTTCCTATTCGATTTCCCCAAACTTTGTACAAGTGACAGGAAATTTAACCCCTGGAGTCTGTTTCCAATCTCGCACGTTCCAGGAGTCCATGTCCCTGCTCTGCTATACGTTACGCTCTCTCAGAACAGCTGTTTGACTAATCTTAGTAGAAGGCAGGTAGATGTGCACTGTTATAGACTAAAAAAAGAGATGTATAGTACAAGGTTTTACAAGCAGAAAGAAGGCTTATATCATTGATTTTAATAGCCAGCTTTCCTTTAAAGTAAATATGGCATGTGTTTTATGATGGGAATAGCTCTTGTATGTGGTATGGGTTGGTTTGTTCTTTTACCATTGCCACACGCGATGAAGCAATATGGGGGTCAAACGCTAAAGCTAAGTAACCGTATCCATTATGTAATGGTGAATCCCACTTTATCTGTTGAAACTGTAAAGAGAAGTCTATTAATGGTGTTGGGGAAAGTGCTGGGAGGGAAAGGGGACTTGTTTGCCTTTAACAAACCTACTTTTTCCAATCGTACGTTGTCATACCATAGTAGTGTGCTGAAGCTGAAATGGTTGGATTAGCGGCCTTCAGAGGTGGTAATATAATAACAGCTGAAGATCACCTCTCTGCAGGTTACTGGCACCACCACAAGTCAGCGGCCTTCTTCAAAGGAGGGGTGAAACGGTGCATGGCTACAGCCTGCCCCTTTGCATGTGGATATCTTCCATCCATTGTAATCCAACTTGAGAGGAATTGTTCTTTTAAGAAAAAAAAAATACACATGGATATGTTGAACCTTGATCAGCTGGAAATCAAATGTACTGGTTACTTTATGAACCAGATAATTGGAAGAAAACAGCTTCAAAATCCCTCAGTCTGTGAATAAACCTCAGCACTCATTTTTGCTTTACAAACTTTGGCTGACAACTTCTGTTGGTTGCATTACTTCATATTTAGCAAGTTTTTACTTTTCTAAGGCTGTTTTTTTCCCTAAGTTTCTTGAATTTTGAATAGTAGCACTTTATCTGAAGCTTACTACTGACTGAATAATTGAACAAAATAAATTGTTATGGATTTGGGGAGAGATGCTAAATTGATTTCAGCGGAGTTGATTTGGATCATACCCTGATATGAATGCATTATGTTCTGTTTCTGATATATTTTCATTCGTCTCTGAGGGACTTTCAGATAACAGGTTATGACAGTTCTAGCCTTTGAATTTTTTTTATCAAAATAATTTTAGGTTTGATACTAAAAAGGTGCAGACACAAATTACAGGGTACCCTTAAATTCATCTCTGTTCTCTCTCAGCTAGCTGCAAATGAGCTACGTTTACTGTAAATGTTTCTGCTTAGCATAATTTTAACGTTAGGTAATTACCTGGAAATCAGTATTCTTTTTTGTACTTAACTTATTTTGAGTTTTGATAACTACAGATAAGTAGATTATGCACAACAGTAATTTTTTTTTAAAGTCATAACCCTTTTACTCGTGGGCCAGAGGCCTGAAACATGAATGAAGGGGTTAAAACAGTTTACATTAAGGTGTTGTTCTCTTTATTAATTAGAATATATTCACAAAGACTAGACTACAAAATGCCCAGTGCAATTATCCCAGTACATTAGGGCTCCACAGTAACAAAACGTAACATCATTTTAATAAATAAGAAAAAATAGGTTTTATTTTCTACAGAGTAGTTTTAACTTCAGTTCAGGTAGTTCACTGACTTGTGATCTAGTTTCAACTAGCAAATTTGGCAAGGCTGTTTTTGTGTGTTTTTCTGTAACAGGTGCTATACTCTATGTGTAAATACAAAGGGAAAAAAAATCTTGTCTGGATCATATTCACAGTCATATAGGTGGCAATATTTATTTGTTAGTCACGGTAATGAGTTTGCATTTTTGGCTGCAGCTTTACATTTGTCTGATTTCAACTGAGTTTCATACTGACATGACTGACAGTGTAAAGTAGATCCTCTCCGTTGATTAACTACTTTATTATTTATTCAGCCTAGTTCTATTATACATATTCCTATTAATGTTAAAAAATGTTTTTTTCCCCATAAGTAGACACTTGCCTCCTTGAATTTGTATGACTGTTCATCAAAGAAACCCATTCAGAAAACACAACGTCTAGGCCGAGCAGCCAGGGTGGTCAACTGAAATGACAAACTTGAATTTGGTCAACACTGGACAATGTGAAAAGAACTTCAGCTTTTGTCACTGCAGCTACTGTATGCTTTAAAGGGCCTTATGTATTTGTCCTCATTTTAGTAAAAAGAAAGTTCTTGCCATGGATACAGTACACTAACGTCCTACAGAATACCAGCAGCTCCCTGGATAAATATGCTAATTAACATTTAACAAGTCTTGTTTTAGTCTTAAGAACAATTTCATTCTCTTTTGTGAAATAAATGCTGTTATGCATCTTTTGTGGATATATTTAATTTCAATTGACAAATAGTTGTCTAGGTACAAACTTGGAAAAATACATATAGTTTCCTTGTGGATCTTAATTGTTTAATTGCAAAATAAAGATGTGCTTTAGTAATTTAAAGTTTAATATTTTTGGAGATTTTCTTGTTCTTGTACACATGATTTTGTTGGGCTGTTTTTGCAAAACAGATGCAAGTGAATGCTAACCCTTGTATTCTCTATTATAGCATATGGTATCTCCACAGATACAGGTCCTCTTTTCTGTAGGTCATGGATCATGTGTGTGTAAACAGTACTGGTTTACTGCTGCATTTACAGGAGTGACGTTATCTGCGTGTAGAATAAGCAGGATTCAATCAATGGAAGCCAAAGTTGTTTCCCTGGTAGTGCGTCTCTGCTGTGCCCTAGAGGAAAGTTGTTAACAGTTATAGAAAGGATGAAGTTTTTGCAGTTCTTTTCAGAGTAAAACATCTTTGCTCCGTTGAGGTTACAGGTAAACAGATTAAAGTGGGAGGGTATGGGAATACGGATATGAAGAATGACTATTCTGGAATGAAGGTTACGATGGAGTGAAAGAGTTGCTTGGTTGACTGGAAAAAAAAATGAAAGGATGTTCCAGCCAAATTGATCAAACCAAAAGCAGGTGGAAAAGACTAAAGGAAATATTAGGAGAGAAGGGTGGGAGAGGTCTCCTGAGTGTCAGGGGAGGGAGCTAGGAGGAAAAAGTGCCACTGAAATGTAATAAAATTAAAATGTACGTCTTAAGTGAGCGTGAGGCGGTTGGATCTGATATAGTATGACGAACCACTGCAAAAGTGTTCAAGGTGGAGATGGGATGAGACTGGAGGACGGCGTGGAGTGGGAAGGCTGGATAGAAGACAGTAGTCACACTTACGTGAACAGCACATACACAAGTCTTTGAGTGGTGAATTGTAATGGGGACGTGTAGTGTGGACCTTAATGATATGCAAGAGTTACAAGGGTCATAACTTGCCAAGAGACAGGATACTGGGGAGGAGAAGAGAAAAGTTGGGTGCTGCTGAGGTTAGCAGGTTAGGGAAAGGGAAAGAAAGGTGAAGTTTTCAGTGGCAACAGAGAATGGACCTTGTAGGAGAGATTACATAAAAAGTTTGGTTTTAGAACGGCTGAATTGGGTGGCATGAATGGTCCAAGGACATCCCAGAAGTGCCAGGTCATTTGTTCTCCATAACACCTTTTATTTTTTCCCCCCTCTTCTGAGAAATGACATGCTTGTAGGTATCCCTCTGAGCGCGAAACACAATGGCTGTCATCACGTAGAGACTGATCCACAAGGAACCGAGCTGAGAGCACCCTCTTTTCACACAGATGGCAGATCAGGCGCTCTGTGGTGCGAATATGCAGGTAATTTGGGAGTGTCCAGGAGAAGTGAAGATGACACATTTGCCATCCTGTTAATAAATGCATTTAGTTTCCCATTTCCTCCCACAGCTTTTCCAAACGTGCACGTTTCCTGATAGCAGTGTGGGGGCAGGAAGATTCCCAGCCTTCACTTTCAATACAGCATGCAAACGTACGCTTAGCATCCAAGACACACCTTTGTCTAGACTAAACCTCAGTCTGAGCTTCCTGCCATGCTTACTTTGTTCTAAGGTTTGAGTCCTGGTCTCTAGTTCCTCCTCAGGGAACCTTGCTCAGATAAACAAGTCTGGTGTTAACAAGATCCACCTGCCACTGTATAAGCAGAAATATTTTGCAACATTTATATAAACACCTGGTTTTAGCAGGTGGCATTTGATGACACAATGGAAGAGGTCAGCATATCCAGGCAGTGTTTAAGATATTTCCAGGTTTCTGCATCCATGGGTTTTTGGGTTTTTTTTTTTTTTTTTTTTTTTTTTTTTATCAGAATGCAGGTCTGCTTAGCTAATAACGTCTATCTGCACCACACCAGGCTTTGCTTACAGTATTAAAGGAAACCAGCAGAAATGGTTCCAATGGAACCAAACTCCCCACAAGTTTGCATGGTGCATTTGATCATCAAATATTGTGTCCATCCCTGAATTTGAGGATTTGGTCCTGATACCAGATCTGAAATCATGCCCTAAGGCAATCTGCTAGCAATCAGTTTGTTGGCAAGGAGAGGCTGAAGACCTGAAATCAGTGCCTCCTGTGGAATTTCACATCTTCAGCATCCCCTGCAGGTGTGGGAACTCGGGCATCTGTCATGCTTTAAATTGTGGGGGCCAACCTTTTTTGGCAGGTATGCCAGATAAACCCTAAATGCCATTCCAGTCCCTTTCTGATTCAGTCTGCTGTTCTGCTTTCTGCTCAGAGCCCTGGGCTCCGCCTGTTTTGCTCTGCGTTCTGCTTCCTTCCCTTTGCTGCCTGCCTAACTTGCTGCTTTGCTGGCTGCTTCCTCCCCATCTGCCTCTCTTTTGCCTGCCCCAATCTGCCACGTGCCACACAGAGGCTGCCTACAGCATTGTCAGGTGTACAATAATTATCATATTTGTACAATCATTTCAACCCTTATACGACAGGTAATCCTAAAAGTGTTCAAAATGTATGATTATTTTTTTGTCATTACATTTGGGGGGGACGCACAAAAACTTAAGTCACTCCACCAACAATCAGCTGAGCTAGCTTACGTGATCATGTGATCTCGCCAGTTCTCACTCGCGTTGAATTGAAATTTGACAGGGGCTAAAGTGAGGGTGAGTAATATTTGCCATTTATCTTTAACCTGGAGACTTACAGTGAGCAATATAAAGTAACTGCATAACAATCACATAATTAAATCTCATTGTGTAATAATACTAAGAGCTTTATTTTAAATGCTATGTATGGTCTTAAATCAATAGAAAGTCAAAGGGGTTTCGTGCTTGCCTCATTTTTAAATTCCAAGCATGTCCCTAATACAGTAAGTGGTAAAATAAAGTGTAGAAGGTTTACAATACACAGACATGAACCGCAAAATGGAGAAAAGAATAATCATAGTAATAAATTTAGTTTAACCAGTCGGAGAAAGAGTTAAACAAAATGTCATAGCGGGCAGTGTCAAGTAGAGTAGCACAGTATGTGATGATAACAATATAAGGCAACATGATGTTACTTAAAAAAAGACTTATTTGCATCCTTATTTACCTACTTTTTTCAGTGTACAATAGGTTTTCATAAACAACGATAATTTGAGCTTTCAATACGATCATTTCATATTGAAGACCTGGCAGCTCTGGCTGTCTATGTTGCTTATGGTTCACATGTCACAGGTTGGTCACCCCTGCTGTAAACAACAGTGAATCAGAGCCTTTGCCTGATCGTAGCATAATCGCTATTGCTGCAGGAGGCGGGGAGAGCATTTTTCTCCCAACTGTAGGAACCAATATAAAGAAACCAACATAAGGAAAGCAATAACCCTATGGGTCATTAGGACAAACGTTCTTGTTTTTTTCGAAGTAGAGAACTTCTGAATACAAATGGCTTTGTTCTGATCATTGGGACCTCTGAGTTTTGCCATATAATTGCTTCACTTCATTACAATCAGCTTCACCACATTGGCCATTCAGAAGTGAGCTGCAGCTGGTGGATTTGTCTTGGATATCTCCCAGTGGGCATGAATAATACAAATCGCGGTGTAGACGTCGAACAACTCTGACCACCTTGTTGGAATAAAGGGAGCCCACCTCCACACACAGCAGACCCCTGTAAGGAACAAAGTGCCTCGAGAATCCAAAGAGGGTTGGCAGCAATCCTTGTCAATCACTCAGCTGCTGCAGTTAATCATAAGTGAAATGATGAAATCAAAACAGGTAACAAGGGAAAATATTCAATCTGTTATGTATTCTGAAGTTGCTTGCATGGTACAATTTACCTTTTTGGTTATCTTTCGGGTCACAAAATCAGGTGCCATTTTTTTAGACTGTTAAATGACTACCACGTATCCATATGTGTCCCCAAAATCTACAGGAGTATAGTTGTTTGCTTTTGCAACAAACACAGCAAATTACCTGCTCCAATTGGATCAAACGCTGAAAGGAGGCAGTAACAGAAACCTTGTGTAAAGTTATATATACTTCTGAGAAACAGTGACGGTGTGATGTGATGGAGGAAAATGTTTGCCCTTGTAAGGGTTTGAGAATATAAACCAGATGAATAAGCAGAGTGATAAACTGAAAGGTGTGAATTGCACTGTGAATAGAAACCAAACCACATGTTAAAGTAAGTATATGGTGTGGTGATATAGTAAACAAGCCACAAAGATATTTCGCAAATAACGTGTAAAACCTTTGTGGCTTGTTTGTGTCGTGCCTTTAATTAAACGTGGCATATTGGAGCTGACCAATGATGGATCCCAGTGATCAGCTGAGCATAAAGAGCTAGGGTGGGGTAGCCACTTCCTCCTCTAACAGTGGGGTTGGGCTCGGGGCAGTGTGGGACTGTGTACCCAGACCTTGAAAAAGTGTGCATGGAGCTGGGAGCCTCGTCTGCACTCCCACTTGGGATTTCCTGGGGTGCTCAAGGAGAGCAGGGAGCTCCCAGCTACCTGTGCCCTGCACCCTCTGTCCCAGTGCCCAGGGAGCTCTTCAGGGTGCTGAGGCACAGTGTCCCCACCACGGACCTTAAAGAGCTCTTTCTCAGCTGCCAGATGTCAGGGACAAGGCTCCCAGCAAAGTTTAATGTCCCCAGTGGTGGGAACCCTTTGGCTTCCCCCCCTGCCGCAACTGGGAGCCTCTGATCCCCCACTCCCAGAGCTGCCGAGCGCAGGGGTTTTGACAATCACCTGATTGTTGGCCGGGGCTGAGACAGTTCCACAGGGCTATCCTAGCAAGACCTGACACATTTCATTGTCAGCTCCAGACGGACCCCAGTCCTGTCCAGGGTTGGGGCCAATAATCAATTGATTGTGTTTGTCCAGGCCTTGACAATCGGCTGATTGTCAGCCCAGACCACACCACAGCTGATTGGAGTCCCTGGCAGGGTCCCAGGCTCCAGATGACAATCGGTTGATTATCAGCCTGGCTGGACCTGCAAGCACTGCTCTGACAACTCGTTGGTGCATGGGGGGACCTGGGGTCTCCCTGCACTGGCAAGTAGTAATGATCTGACTGAGAACCAGTAAGCTGGGAATCTCTTCGGTTACCAGCTTGTTTGTAGGATAAGATTTACTTGGTCCTTTTCATATGAATATGCCCCTGAATTCTCAGCAGTAAAGGAGGTATGGTACAGCAGTAGTTTTACACACTGCATCTGCTCTGCTGCTCAGTCAGCACTGCCACACAGGTCCACTCTGCCCCCAACGAAAGGCAGGAGCAAACCAGCTCTGGATCCAACTGGTAACCCACCTGTGGGAATAAGATTTTAAACCCTAATGAGCTTGTATTTCTCCAGGTTTTTCTTCAGGGGCTTCCCTATCCCTCCATGAGGGATCGCTAGGGTATCAGTCTCTCTATGAAGGGCCCAAATAGAGAAAATTAATTTGCATTCATCTTGCAAACCAAAGCCCTGTAGCACCCTGTGCTTCTTCTTTGGCAATACAAATGATGAGTCAAAGGCAGGATCACTTACCCTGAAAGCCTCTTTCTAAACAGCTATCCGCTTCACTACATGGTTCCTATCCTTATTTCTCTGTAGATATGAATATTATTTCATGGGATGTTAGTTTAATTCCTCAGGAGTAGTCATGTGTTTGCTTTCAAGGTGAATGGGAGCTATGCCTCACAAATAAAAAAAGAAGGGTGCTGAGCTATCATAAAATGTCTGTGGGGGAAGTGGTGGCTCTGCCTAACCTGCATGCAAGTTTATTTGCAATGGTGTTACATTTTAGCCAAGGGCAGTGCTCATTTCATAGAGAAATAAGGCTGGATTGGACTTCAAGCAATCATCTAGCCCATCCTGGGACTGAACCTGCAACCTCTATGTTGTTAACACCATACTCTAACTAACTCAGCTATATTTCTAAGTAAATATACCCTTTTTCCTGCTTTCCCCCATTTAGCTTCCTGCTTCACTTTGTTCTAAGGTCATGAGCTATTAAGCAAAATCAGCACCTGGCTGAGAGAAGAGATACTGCAGAAAATGGGGTTGGGGCTCAGACATCATGCCAAGGACCACAGAAAGAGGGGAACAGAGAGGGCTGCAGGGAAGCATGAGAGGCAGGGACAGAAAGGGGAAACAGGCCTGAAATGGGCCAAAGAAATAGGAATCTGAAGGAAAGGGTGAGAGATTTAGGGCCCTGAGGGGTTGGGTGGGAGATGGGGTCTGCGGCAAGAGCACGGAGGGAAGGAAAGCTCCTTCGTTTCTACCACTGCAGCGTCCTGCCCTCCTGTCTTCCAAAAAATGCAAGCTGGGGGATGAGGACAAAGACCAGGAGACAGGCAGGGTTAGGGCTAAGTGACAGGGTTGGAGGGAGATGAAATAATTCCTCCCTGCCCCAGGGAGATAGAGGCCACGCTTCAAAGCCTGTCTTTACATTTATTTCAAACTTGAAATGGTCACATGATAATGTGGGGGCCGGCAGCTCCCTCCTCGACGCTGCAAAAGCAGAAGTTGAGTCTGATGGAGAGGAGAGGAGTTGGGGGTTGTCCACATGCTGGTTCTGGAGGATTGAGGGGGCTTAGCTGTGTGGATGCTGGGGTTGGTAATACCGAAGAGCCGGAGAAGGAAATACCTTTCGGTAGCAGCCCAGTGTATGCAAAAGTATGGTTTCTGCATCTGGGAAGTGCCTGTATTTGCACAGCATAGGAAAGAGAGCTGTGCATCTGCCAGAATATCTTGCCCTTCGCAGCAAAGATTGTTTTGGAGATCACTGGACTATCCGAAAATGCCAAGTGCAAGCCTAGCTGGACAAATCTGAGCTAGGTTTGTGTACCTGGCAGGGAAAAAGAGCCAGTTTATGCTTGGCAACTGGAAACAAAGTCTTATGGGCAGCCTAAATTGTTTCTCTTCAGTGGTTGTAAGCAAAATGGCATTTGAGAAACCAGAGCAAGAAGCAGTTGATAGCAACTGTGCCCAGACCAGGATGTCTGTGCCCTGAGCCCAGTCTGCGTTCTGACTCTGCAGATATCGTGTTGTCCACCAAGGTCTGGCCTAACGGAGAGGAAAGACCTTTTATGCTTTATAGCTCATCCAATCAGAGGGGTTGGAGTAGCAGAAATCGTAGGGTCGGAAGGATATCATGCAGAGGTGGCCAGCCTGTGGCACGATTGCCACAAGTGGCATGTGCAGCCTGTGTGTGGCATGCAGCACATAGGGCAGAAAGCAGAGGAGGAGATAGGTCAGGGAGCACAGAGAAACAGGCAGAGGAAGGGGATGGGCATGGCGCTTGGTGAGAGGGCATGGCTAATTTGTGGCACCCCTGCCAAAAAAGATCAGTTCCCACTGATTTAATCCTGCTCCCTGCACAGATACTTTTCCTAAACCATCCCTGACAGGTGCCTGTCCAGCCTCTTGGAAACCTCCGGCGGAGAAGAGTCGACCACTGCCCCGCCGCTCTGACACCCCAGATGCTTTTTCTGAGCTCGAAGCTAAATCTGCCTCGCTGCAGTTTGGACCTGTTGCTTTGTGTCCTGTCCTCTCTGGCAGAGGAGAAGAGCTGGTCCCCTTCTCCGTGGCAGCCTTGCCAGGATGTGAACCCCGCTCTCCTGAATCTCCTCCTCCTCCTCCAAACTAAATGCACCTTGTTCTCTTAGCCTTTTCTCAGGGGACCTCTCCAGCTTCTCTATGTCCTTCGTAAACCGCAGAGCCCAGAACCACACGCTGGACTCCCGCCGAGGCATAACGGAGGGGAGAGCGGTATCACACAGCCCTCCGGCGAAGACGCCCCCGGCCTGCATCAGCCTGCTAGTGTTGGCTCCCGTGGGGCATCCCAGGGAGGTGGTTAGCCACGTTTGTCCGAGGGCAGGTAGAAGGCAAGGTAGATTTGCACCTTTTATAGACTAACCAATGTGTGCGTGCACATATGCACGCAAATACACACATACACTTGTGTGTGCATATACATAAGGACAAGTGTGCGTGCGTGCGCATCTGCTCGTACATGCATTATGTGTGTGTAATTCTCTTTCTCTCCTCTCAACGTTTTGTGGATTTACAGGCGTTGGTTGTTTGCAGACAGGAATTCACGGGAGTGCAGACAGGGCTGTGTCCGGGCTCCTTACCGCAGAGGGCTTAATTAAAAGCCTCTGTGCAGTGGGAGCTGGTTTGTCCCCACCTTGCTGGGGCTGTCATTATGTCGTCGTGTGCAGCCCTGGTACGGGCAGGTGCGAATCGCCAGCTCCTCCCTGGGACTGGCTGGGCAAGCGAGACCTTGCGTGGGCAATGCGGGGAGCAGATTTTTTTTTTTTTTTTTTTTAACTTAAAAGGGGGAAGGAGGGTGGTAATTGCAATGAACCCACCTGCCTTCATAATGGTGCACCTGACATGTATAAAATCACATTTAATGGGGGGGGGGGGGGGGGGGCTGTACTATAATATGTTTACATAAAGTTTAATTTTATATATATCTCATTGTCCTATATTTAAATATTAAAATAGGAAATATTTTATTTTCTAGCCGTGTGTGTGTGTGTGTGTGTGTGTGTGTGTGTGTGTGTATGGACACATAGGGTATATATTATGATATCTTGCATAGTGTGCGTGTGCATGTATATATGTGTGCATATATATGCATGTGTGTGTGTATATGTAAGATATAGCATGTTATATGATCTATACTTGCACTAATATGTGTGTATACATCTCGTTTACCATCAGGAAAAAATATGTACACTATATATGTATAATATCTATAATGTATGACACACTTTTGTGCACACACGTGAGCGTAAGAGTCCCGGTCTGCCCGCAGCTGCCTCGCTCCGTGCACGCCCTGTGCCCCTCCCCACCGCGGGGCCCCGCCCCTTTAAGGCGGCTCAGGTCGGCACAGCACAGCCACCTCCCTCCGCAGCGACCCCCGCCCCTTTAACACCACCGGCCGCCGCCGTGCGGCCCCATTTAAAGGCGCGCGGCCCCGGCGGGATTCCTTCCCCCCGACCCGCACGGCCTGACGCGGGCCGCGCCGCACCAACCCCTTTAAGCGCGGGGCAGGGGTGTGTGGGGCCGCCATCTTGGCCGCTGAGGCCCCTCCCTCCCGTCGTTGCCGCCGCCGCCTCAGCCTCACGAGCCGTCGCTCGGGCCTCCGCGTCGCCGCCCGCAGGTGAGTGGGCCCGCGTGTGTGCGCCCGCCGGTGAGTGTGCACGCTCTGTATACACCTGGGAAGATGCTCCCGCGAGCCTGAGGCGGGTCCGTCCGTCCGTCTCGACAGGACACGAGACGTGCGTGCGTTGCGTCGCGTCGTGTCGCGTTCCGTTTCGGCCGCGCTCAAACGCTGCCAAACGGGCGTGGTGAGCAGGTGCGTCCCGACCCAGTTGGATCCCAACCGGTCCCTTAAGATCCAGATCGCGCACTGATACGTATATAATACGTATATCTGTATTATTATTATTATTATATATGATATACGATACAACATGATGATTTCTTGCAGACCTGTGTACATACGCCACGCAGGTACATGCTTGGGTTTGGTCACTAGATTTCGTGTTATCGATTTGTTTTTGTTCACGGAAACGTTAACCGTCGCGCTTTCTTCTCCCTTCTCGGCAGCAAAGATGCTGAGTTTCTTTCGGCGCACCCTGGGACGCCGGTCCATCCGCAGGCACGTCGAAAAGGAGCGGCTGAGGGAGGCCCAGAGGGCTGCCACCCACATCCCCGCGGCGGGAGACGCAAGATCCGTCATCACGTGCCGAGTGTCCTTGCTGGACGGCACCGACGTCAGCGTGGACTTGCCGGTACGAGAAATACACAGCTGGGTTTTGTTTTAAACCCCACCGCCCTGGTAACCCGGGGTCGTGTTAGTCCCTCGTTATAAATCGGTGCTGAAAGAGCGATGCGTTCGATTGCGCGGATTATGCCGAATGCTTTTCATCGGGGTAACGTGTGCGCTACGGTCAGCTCTTGTTTTGGCGGCGAGACGTTGATAAATACACGGAGAGATTTGTGTTTCCTTTTCGAGGATCTGGGTGTGTCTATTGAGGGGAGTATTACTGTGCATGCTGAATAGTTTCTCTGGCGTTTGGCTTTCTCTTTCCTTCATATGCGTGCAGTCAAATAACTGCTGATATGTGGGTTTCCAGAAAAAACCCTCTTAAAAAAAAATGAAGTGATGAGAGTTAGGGTTCTTTGCAGGGTTTGTTATGGGTTGTGTCCGGGATGGATCTGTCCAAAAATATTAAAGCGGCATCAAGAGCTGAAGGGCGTGTTTGGTTTGCGTTGCAGTGTGTTGGCCAACAGGCTGGACAGCGGGTGACTCGTGCCGTTCATCTCTTCTTTCCACTTGCGCAGTTTAGAGCAGTCGTGGTTTGCTGGGTTGAATTTGGGCAAGCCTGGCTTCAGTGAAGCCCTCTTGGCCTCTGACTGGGTCCCAAGAGATACTGGTGTGTGTGTGTTTGCGTGGGAGGGATGTACCTCTATGGCTGCCCTCGGTTAGGAAGAGTACGCGGTGCAGCCACTCGAAAGACAAATGGACTTTTCTCTTGTAAACGTTCAAGGGTCTGAACTTTCCCCAGCATTGCGAAGGCTGCGTGCCGGACTGCCGAGCAGTATTGAAACAATAGTCTGGTGCGGTGATGAGAAAAGAATCCCTTGCTCTAAGAACGGAAACCCCAAATACCTGGATATTTAACCCCCCCCCCCCAAATAATTACAGCAGTATGCTCTAAAGTGAGTGTATTATAGACACTTGCAGTGAACAGTAAAATTAATGTGTACAGCCCTGTAAACGTGGAAATAATCCAGTTAACATGCCCAGTACAGTTCCATGTGCAAGATGCTTGATTTGAGGCCAGAAACGCCCACGGATACTTCATAGAGGTAACTGCAAATGGAAATACTAAAGTTTTATTGGTGTCTCTACACAAACAGAGCGGCGGTCTTTCTGGGACTGGAGTTGGCACTACAAGCGAATTCCTGGTGCCTCGTTTCTAGTGCTGTTAGAAACATAAATTGAGCTTGGAGAGGTGTCATGCTCATGATCTATCACCCAGGCTATTAAATTTTAATATGAGGTTTTAATAGTGACAGTTTTCTCTTTAAAACAAAACGACTGCTCCCTTTTCTTCCCCCCCTCTCTGTGACTTTCCAGCTTTTCTTTTAGTCAAGGGACAACTCTGGAAAAGTTATTGCTTACAGGCACCCTTGCTTTTCAGCAAGCTCTGCCTGTGGCTTTCTGAGGGAAGAGTTAACTAAATGAGTATACGGCTAGGTGTAATATTTGTAGCTGCCATCAGACACTAGCATGAACTTTTTCTTTCCACAGCAAGTGTTCACTGGGTTCCTTAGGGGCTTTCTGTCACTTTTGAGGATGACTTCTTATTCATCTGTGATTTCTGACACCTTGCACTTGGGCCTTAGGGAGGGAGAGAAGGAAGAAAACTTAGGAAATTCATGAAGAAGGAAAAGATTGTTACTACTAGGTAGTGTGAAAAGTGTATGGGCTGTGGGGTAAGGGATCGTTTCTAACTAACAAACAGTCCCTTTGCAAAATGAAGCTCCAGTTTCTTGTTGCTTCTCCTCTTTTCCTGTCTGTGGCCATGGCTACACTAGTTGTTGCCCTGAGACAGTGACCCTGAAAGTAGAAATCTGGAAATACCTGCCTTGAAACAACTATATGTACTGTATGTCCTTAGTTGTTGTTGGAAAACTAGAACCAGGATAACATTTCCCACATTAGGGTAGATTCATTTCTTTATTAGTGTGTATCAGGTGCTGAGCTCTTTATTTTGGGACAACTGGAATATTCCTGAAAGAGCTGGTCCGTGTGCCAGTGGCATTCATTTTTAAGACACGCCTTTCTGTGGCTAGAGTTTGGGAAGCATTTCACTACTCATGGGCCTGATGGTCAATCCTGGACCGTAAGGGAAGCATGCTTCTGGGGCATTTCTAACACATCCCTTAGAACAGCTAATAATTAAGCAAATGCATAATAGGTAAGTGTATACTTATTTCTTAGTAAGTCTCTCATTTGATGCACTTATTTCACATTCTTCGTGGTCCACTTGTGTTTAGCTGTCCTCTTGGAGAGATGGTAAATGATGAGAGGCTTGAGGAAGCTACAAAACTTTGGAAGAGAGATCGCATGCTAAAATCACTTCTTAGCCACATGGCTTTATTTGGCACCCTGTCCTTCATGGGAAGATTGCCAGCCCTATAAAAGACTAAGACCTTGTCTCTTTTTACTTGTTTGTAAGTGGCTAGACCTGTAAATGTCAGCGTCATGTGAAAAATATACATGAAGCAAGTCTGTTTGCATTCTTTCTCATCCGGCAGCAAGACAAACAAAAGTCAATGTTGCCAAATGTTAGTAGTGGAGCAAAAAGGAGGCACATGTGGAGGAAGCAGTTTGGGGCGATTGTTGAAGGCTGGGTGAAAAGCCCGGTCCTTTTGCCTATAAATGCAGGTTCTTCCACTTTATTTATTTATTTATTTTTATATATGTGTTACTTAATTTTTGCTTCTGTTTTTCCATTTATGCATCTGTTTTTCTGCAGTATCTTTAAGTGGATCATACTGATTTGACCCTCAAACTTTTTTTAGGATAAATATTGCTATGAAACATGAATTGCCTGCTTTAAAAAGCTAATCATAATATGATTGTAATCGCTATTGAATAAATATTGTCCAGGCTGGAAGATGGGGAATTCTCATTTTGGTGGGTGTAATTGCAAGCTTCATTGAGTTAAATGTTCTTTAGTGATAAACTGAACGTTTGACTTTCGCTTGAACTCTGAAGATTTTTGCACTTTTTTTGGTAACCTCATGAAAAGTCCTGTTTCCTGACTTTTCTTGAATTCAGTGGTGACACAAAAACTATTGATGACTTGCTTCTGCCCTCAGATTTATTTACCTTGATGCCCTGATTTGGATTATGGATAGGGCTGGCTGGAAAGCTAGATTTCTGCTCTGTGAACGTTTCTTGAGGTTCTGACAGCTGTTTCTGCCGCCATGTATATGAAATTAAAGAATTAAAAGTGTTGTCTTCCTGAAGCATTTTGGAGAGAGATAAGATAAGACCAAATACCAAACAATAGCCCAGTGTGTAGGAATCAGTCAGAGCAGACTTGAACCTGGGTTTTCCCAAGGGAGTGTCTGCTACAGACTGGGTTCTCTCTCTGACCGGAAGTGCTGTTCTGGACCATCAAAACAACCAGTTTCTATGAAAGTTTGCTTGAATGAATTGGCCTTTTAAGTGAAATCTCTTTTTCAGTGGAAAAATTCCTAGTGAGCTCTAATTATGTACCCGGGGGAAGGGGAGACTCTTCAGTGCTGAACGCTTGTTTTCAACAGATAGCTGTCATAGCTGTACTTCAGCATTCTTGTTTATAAGCTAAATATTAGGCTAAAGCTACATTTTACTGTCGCCCCAAAATAGAAATTGTGAGAGTGGCTGTTGCTTGTCAGCCTACGATTGAATGTCTTCATTATGTATGCAAAGCTATTTAGTATGGAAATTGCAAAATGATGCTTTTTTGTCTTGGTTTTAATTGACTGTCACTAAAACTAGAAATTATGTAAGCCAAGTTGAGAGCTCACTGGAATACCATGAATTGGCTAAAAAGTCGTTTTAAACGTAGAAATAATGTTTGTAAACCGTGAACAATGAAAAGTATTTCTGCATTCTCGTTGTTTCTAGTACTGTAAATCTAAAAGATCCCTACGTGGGACTTCTTGCCTGCCCAAGTGCTGTGAAGCAGGAGACCAAATCTTTTTTGGATCATTGTTGCCAATAGACTGTTATGTATTCGAGTAGGGAGGAGTAAAAACATTAATATTTGTTAAAACTGTGTGTATGTTGAAATTGTGTTGGCTCTCGTGTTGTAACAGGATTAACGTGGTCATGGTTAAACTGCAGCATTTGTTTAGTTGATATATCATGTCTTAAAATTTATTAAGAAATCTATAGTCATTCGTGTCATAATATATTATATTGTGTATTTTGTATCTGTGCCATCTGTACAATAGTTTTGATGCTTTAAGAATTCATCTCTCAATAACATTAAAGAAGCCTCATCCCCTACAAGTAGAATCGTCTTGTTACTGAGTGATCTTCTCATGTTCTTCAGAACTTTTAGGCTAGTTATTAAATCTTCACTATGTGCCCTCAGTCTCCAAGGTGGGATTTTTTGTGTGTGTGACTTGTGTAGTTGCAAGAGCGTGTTTCAGGTCCACAAATGGGAAGACTGACCATTTGACTCTGTCCTGAATTCATAAAGCAGGGCTGTCCAGCTTCTAACCCCTGGGGATTGGCACAGGATGCACCCGTCAAGCCATAGGCCACTGGGCTTCATGGACACCCCTTCCACCTCCACTGCCTCACACGCCCATAGCAGCAACCTCACCGCTGTACCGTGCCCCACTGCAGTGCAGTGCCCTCCTTCCCCATCCCCTCCACTGCAGTATGCAGGTGTGATATCCTCCTCCCCCTTCCCCCACACCCCCATTGCAGTGCTCGCTCTCATAGCCACCCCCCACAACCACCTCCACCAATAGGTATGATCTCATGTGGGGTCCTGTTTCCTCCATCCCTCAAACCCTCCCACATGTGACCCTATGTTCATCTTCCACTCCCCATGCTGGTTGCTGCACTGCCCTGCTCCCCAGGGTGGAGGCAGGAAACAGCACCCAGAGGAGGAAGGAGGAGCTCAGAGGCTCCAGATACTGTTACAGCTCTTGCATCAGGTGGGGGGAAAGGGGGCAGCTTGGCTGGACCCAAGCCTCAAGGCCTCAGCTTAAC